TAATAAATGAAAATATTAATTAGAGAAATATTTTTCTGCCAAGAATGGCATTATGAAAAATGTTAATTATTAACGATTTTTACATCTCTGTTTCGAAAATTGTCAGCTTTCTAAATAAGTATTACCAATGTACCAATAAAAGGTATGTGCAGAAATTATTACGTATGTACATACCTATATATCTACGTTAAAATAAGTAAACAAATTTAAGCGCTTCTACTTCTAACTTTAGATATATACATTTTATTATTTATTAATAAAAATTCTTAATACAAGTTTCTTCGTACTTTTTTCTTCGCTATTAGGTCAAGCATTTAATAAAGATTCTAAAACCTGATTTGTGGGTTTGTGGTGGTTTCTACCATTTACAATAAGTTGCAAATTATCAACTTTTCTCAAAAAAAGATTTAACAAATCTGTGTGCAAACCCCTTTTTATTTTAGTGTGGTATAATCGAAAAAAAAAATGTGGTAGATTTGAATAAGATGTGGTAGATTTTCCAATTCATATTTTATTGGGTATACATATCGCTCACCGTCGTCAAAAGAAGCACAACTCAAAAATTAAATCGGGAAATATAATTGCTAGTGGATCGTACAGATTCCACGCAATTGGTGCAAAAGCAAGTATAACATTAATTTTCTAGTTAGAGAATATAATCATGAAGAAAAGAATATTTTATTTGTATGCAAAAAAATCGACCAAATTATTTTCCCATTGCATAATACTTTAGCAAATATAAATAGGCGTATTTTTGAAATATTAGAAAGTTAAGGCACAGATATATTTAAAGCAAAATTTATGATGTACCTTTTTAAAAATCTATTGATTAATTTGAATTTGATAATTGAATTAATTTTTATATTTCGAATTACAATTGAGTTGAAATTCTAGAGTTATGGGAAAATTGTAAACAAATGTTCTGTCTAAAATGTGGTAGATTTTAAGCCTTGTGTGGTAGATGTGGTAGACACCCAAATTTAAAAAAAATACGTGGTTGATCTACCACACATGTGGTAGAAGCTTGCACACTGTTCTAAACGTATGTTTTGAGCAAATTGATGTTTAAAGCTAGCAATATATCCCATGTCCATTTTCCAAAACTATAATAATAAACATGGCAGTTTTTTAGCAATTTGGTTCCTGTAATTAAGGAAATATTGTAGTTTTGGCATTTTTCGAAATTACCATTTTATGAGAGGGACCAGGTTATTGTTCGACTTTTGTATGTTCAATACCCTGCTGCCCTAGATAAAAAAACCCTCGTACAGAATTTGGTTGAGATATCTCAACTTTTGCTAGAGTTATCGTGTACGCAAATAAACGGGCATGGACTAATCATCTTCCCTTTTTATTCTGAGCATTTTTATGTATATATACATACATAAGTAGTACATACCAACATAAATGTATGTATCCATATCGATTAATTTTGGTTGTTCCAAATATACGTTATTTGAAAAAAAGTTATGGTACCCTCTTGCAGAACTGCGTTGTAAATATGTTTAGGAAACATTTAAATTAATAGTTAATTAAAAAAGTTGCTCAAAGTAATGGAACTCCTCAACCCCTTTAAAAAAAACAGGAACCCTTCTGAAATTTTGTTTTGAAAGTTTTCATATTTGAAAACTGAAAAAAATCACAGTATACAGCAAACCAGCCATTGACAATATGCTTATTTGAAAACTAATACATGAAATGTTGTGAATATATAGGATTTTTTTGTCATTAACCCATAGGCAACAACTGGTGCAAAAGTACCTACAAATGTTTGTTGATATATTTGAAATGTAAATTTGAACAGCAAAATTCGTAAAACAAATTATAATAAAACAAAAATATTGTTAATTACTACGTGGGAGGCGGGCGTGGTTATTGGCAGATTTCGACAAAATTCAACACTAACCTAAATTATACCAAAGGCAACTTCTACACCGACTTTCGTTAAAATAACTAAATTTTGTTCGAGTTAGCGCGTTTACAAACAGAGAGGGCTGAACTAGTTCATCTCGTCATTCTGAATATATGTGTATATACGTACATACATTTTATACGGTTAACAAACGCGCTCGCTTATCTGCATAAACCGTCTTTACTTGCATTAATTCATGCATTATCCTCTTTCAAATGTGAATAATCGGCTGAACAAATACACACAAATTACGGGCATTTGGAAATTGGAGAGTTGTACCATAAGCTAAGTAATACTTCTTTTACCGCCTAATCGATGGGACCATTTTACAAAGTCAGCCCACCATTATTCACTCAAAGTTGTGTTCAGAACACGGTTTGACTTATGTAGGAACTGCATCCGGTCATAATTGCTAACGCTTCATTTGCTTGGAATTTCGTGTTTCTCGTTATTTCATTTTATGTGACTTGGAAATATTTTTCACTATAAGAAAATATTTAAATTGGATTTCATTTGGGTTAACGAAAACGACAACTGTGAAAAAATATCAACCAATACATTCAAACAAAATGTCAAATAAGCATGTTTACATTTTTTGTTTTGGCTACCTGGATCACTGTATACTGTGAAAAAAATATTTAGTACAAAAATAATTGTGATAAATCAATTTTGTATATTCTTCTGCGAAAAAATGTCTACAATCGATGATGTATATGTATACATATCAAGATGTGTCTGTTTTGCTCTACAGTTGCGATAAGTTGCTTTCGAATAAATAATATTGCACGAGTCATTGGCTTTGGGTTAGTGGCAGAAAACTTCAATACATAAGTACATATACTTTGAAATAAAATATTTGTTTTTGTTTCAATTCCAGATATGTTAAAACTTTAAAGTATAAAATATATCAACCCTGGGAACAAATTATTGGTACTGAATGGTAAAAAAAAGTGTGCATTCATTCTAAATATACAATCATGTGTGAGTGCGAATGCTGCTGAACATTCACATTCTATACTGAATGGCAATCTAGCATTCAATAACAAAACACAGTTTGTTTGTTTTAAAATATTTTAAGCCACTCAGGAATGAAGTTTCTATTTATACAAACCAACAATCAACATTTTGAAAGGAATGCCGAGTGAATGCAGACTATGTTGATTCAATCATTTTACAGCTCTGATACATATGTAAGTATAGATAGAGATGTATAGTTGCTTCCCTCCGTATAGGCGTAATATTTATGCACCCGTGCTTAGCTACGGTGGCTAAAAGCTGTGACAGACGGCAAAGCTTATGAATATAATCTGGCACACATTTGCTCACAATAATTTTACCCTTACAGACGGCAGTAATGCGGAAAAACGAGCCGCAAGGTCGTGGGTTCGAAACCCAGTAGAATTTTCATTTATTTCGTTTTCATTTTTTTTATAAGTTCTATATTTTTTTACGTTGCTTTCAGTTAGTTGTTGTTGACTTTTTATAAAAATTCAACTCTAAAAATTTAAATTAACCAATAATAAAATAAAAAATGTCATATAACATAGATCAAATGAAAAGAAAATAAAGCAAAATTAAATATATAAATCACATAAAATAAAAAAATATGAAATAAATAATAAGAACAAAAAAATGTTTCGCAATCGCTCCAACCGGGAATCGATGGTGGCAGCTACAGGCTTGTAGCCCGCAACTCTCACCAGTCGGCTATTGCGGACGCAAAACTCGCCCGCTTTGTTTGCTTACTTGTACAAAAGACAAAAGCTGGCCGTTTTTACCAGTGTTGTAATCGAAAATGCCCCGAATCCGAGATAATTCCCAAAATTTCGTGCATTTGTTCGGCTGCTTATGCGCATTTTAAAGTGAAAAATGCAATTAAGATTCAAAGCAAATAAAGGCTGTTTATGCAAATAATCGAGTCCGTTTGTCAACCGTATAAAATTAGTATCTTTAGAAAAAGTCAACAAATTTTCATCAAAGCTTTTAACTTTTTAAATTTAATTTTTAGCGAATTTCTGGGTATGCAGTTTTATAGTCTGTTAAACTAAAGTGCAAGTTTCAAGCGGGCAAAAAAATCGCGTTGATTTTCAATAATAGTTTTTTGGCTGAAACACAAATAT